ATTTGACCCGTGAAAATTAGATTAGATTTGGATTAAATTCGTATTATTTAAAAAACCTTAAGATTTAGGTATTATAAACCTTATTAAAACAGGCACTTATTTTGTTCAGCGAAGCCAAAAATGCAATAATATACAGGACATTCCATTTAAAAAAACGCAACTTTGATACCTTTAGAGCCTTTATAAAATAATACTTTTTAAAAATCAAACGGTTTAGCCGCAAACTGTATACCCTTAGAAGGAATGACGCCAATTTTGAATCACCCTGTAGTTATAGGAGGCAACTTTGGTGGTTGTCCATTTTCCAAAACAATTTCCACAACAACTGATTGAAAAGTGACGGGCAACATTTTGTAGGGAACGCAAACAGGCTGGCACGAAGTCCTTTAATTACGCGAAGATTGACAGTCGAGTATCCTGAATAGGCCATCGTGTCCGTCTTTCATTCATATCCTGAGGGAACTAGGGCTTATTTAACTTTCAGCTTAAATAGATAAAGAGTTTCGTAGTTACCTTGATAATGGGACGGCCGATGATTACAATCAGTGGCGTCTCAAGGAAACCTTTATGCAGGGCGCTCTGTGCTCTTTCTCGAAATCTCTAGTTTCTCTATTCTTCCTTTAAGATCACTTCAAATTAAGCACTCTCAGTGAAAACTTTTTCTGAAGGGTCCATAAATTAAGCCAAAAAACACACAGAAACTTTTGAAATTTGAGTTTGCAAAAAGTGTGCTTATTTATGCACGAAAATGGTATTGTCCGGTGCTATTTGCTGCTAAATCGTGTTTTAGGTATCAACAATTTATAACTTCACATGCACAATTGTCTCTAAAATGCATAATAATTCCGTTTTTTGTAAAAGTTTATGTACCATGTCGATAGTTGCTGGATTGATTATATTTCTTTGGGGAATTCAGCACAATGCGGTGTTGCCACGTAATTCACCCATTTATTAACAGTTTGTGTGTAACAATGAATAAAAAGTATTATTTCAAAATGACTGAACCACTTCTAACCCAAACTAATCCAAATTGAATGAATCTACATGATAGGTATCCAAGGACAGTTTTAATTAATTTAAAACATTTTGCGCAGTTTGGCAACACCGCTCGAAATTTAACATGAAAATGGCGATTTTCCTCAAAATGTGTGAATGTTTTTTGGCTTAATTTATGGTTCATAAATTAAAGGAAAGTTCTCACTGAGAGTGCTTAATTTGAAGTGATCTTTAAGGTAACGATGGACAAAACTACAAACGACATCATCACCAAATCACTGCTTCGGAAACTCAAATGTAACACTAAGTTTCAAAACTAGGAATTGTTCAAGTACATGGCTGCCACATTTCCAATAAAGTTTTTGGTGAATATCTCGTTATTGCGTGCGATTAATTTGTAGTGCTATTCTATCTACGTCTATGGGGAAAAGTATCGACCGATTTCCCGGGGTTCATGCCGTAGACCCGGACTTTCCCGGGCTCTATCGATTATTTTCCGGCTCCAACCGGTTTTTCCACGAAATCATTGCTATGTTTGTACTATGCGTTTTTCGGTTGCTCAGCTACCGAAAACTACATCGGCTGCTAATGGGGGAAAAATCAAGTGCCTGCATTGCGATTTTCCATCATCCAAAGTGAACTTTTAATTGTTCTTCCAACTTTCGATCTTAACGCAACTTACTAACTTTCAATGTTTAGAAACTGATGACTTTGAGGCCCTCGCGGAAAAGAATTACATGCTGATGTTTCGCCCTCACGAGTGGATTACATCTTCAGAGATGTGAAACCTACCTGTGGGACACCTCTTTTCCACGACGGCCTAAAGCTCAGAAAACTCATCAGTTTTTTTCTATCGACTCTATTGCATCTACCTCCAATTGTACTCCAAACAGGTCCCTGGAGCGATCTTGCTTGTTGCGCAACTGAACCACTTCAGCTTCAGTGGCAACGTCGACATGATTGGGCACCACATTTTCTATCGGGCTCATCTGCAATCAGAAAAAAAGATGCAAATTACAGATCTAGAGATAGATGAAGGCCCGGGACAGGAAATAGAGTTTAACTAGAGGCACGTGGTAAATGAGTGAAAATAATTGCAGATTCACTTGTACGATTACCGCCTTTAGTAATTAATATTTCACGGAGGTAACCGCACTTCCTGTTCGTTGATTATCCTCGAACTCTTGTTTTGTATTAGCGGACGTGGATCGGAAATCTGGCTTGATGTTTCTGGTACCTTCGGGTTCATTTTGTGTACGAATTCTTTGCTGCAGAGCAACGGTTTTAAGCAACATTATCTAGTGAAGAAACTCGATTGAACCATTATCATCAATCTACCTCTGCGGCTATTTCGCAATTTTTGCATTGAAATCGAAAGGAAATGAGCGATATTCGATCAGCATTATAATTAAATCCGATCGAAATTGAAAGTGTCCAGTCCACGAGCCTCGAGTGAAAGTACTTCTAATTGCGTTACTTATTTGGTATCACATTATTTAGTGCAAACATTTTGTTTTAATGTTTTCTCAAGGTTTGAGACTGTGCGTCAAATGGAGCAACCAAATCAATCGTTTCAGGTGAATTTCATCCCAAGAACATTATTAGATTCTGTAGCGAAAATAAAGATGACTTTCAATATGGCATAAGATAGAAATTATTTGAAATAATGGGAAAAAATGTGAAAATGTAGCCCAAAATTAAAAAAATTCTAAAAGTGCTGTAGTAGTTATGCACACTGATGACATTACTGATCGCAACTTTTCCTTAACGAACAATTTGATTTTCATGTAATTTTTTACAGGATTGCCGAAGAATTTCGGTTTAAAATTAAATAACTGAAATTTTTCGCCAAGTTAAATTCGAGCACCCTGTATGTTTTAACATTATTCCGCGAATAATTTAATCCTTTTCTTAAAAATATTTGCGTCAAATCCCCAAAATGGGTCATATACAGGGTGCTTCGCAATTGGCGTCATTCCTCTGGTGGTCTGTCTAATAACAAAGTTGAAATTCGCTTTTCAACTGTCAATATCTTCTAGAAATTATCGAAAAAAAAAATTCAATATTTTTCTCGTACCTTCCAAGTATTACCTTAATCTTGATTTTGTTTTAAGAATTTGTACATATTCGTGTACAAAATCGTAATTTTCTGAAAAATGATTAATTTTAAAAGGTGTTATTAATAGGCTTTGAGAAAATGATTAAATTTTCCTGTCGCTGATCTAAAAACATAAGGTGCCGCATTTAAAATAAACGAAATATTCAGTTAAAAGTTATTCAATTTTTCGACGTAATTTTCGGACACCCTATATAAATTTACATCGAAACCAAAATAGCGTTAAATAGTAAAATGGTTCTTCCACTAATGCAATAAATTACGACACGTGAATAGCTACTAAAGCGAAGCTACGATTTTTTATATTTTGTCCTACACCTTTTTTCTCATTATATCGAAAATGGATCACATTTTCGCTATTATGCTTATTGAGACATACCTTAATTTTTCCTGAAACAACACATTAGTTTGATCAGTAACTTTCTATAGTTGAAACTAATTTGTAAATGTGGAGCGATTAAAAATAAATCTCACCAAAAATATTACTAAAAGTACAATGGTCGATAGCCTTTTCACCGAATAAAGATGTTGTTGTTGTTATTACTAAAAATTACTCATTGCTCTCCTCATGAAAAAAAGTCTTTGCTACCGCAGGCCACCCTGTACATTACTATTGTCTTGCAGAAGATCGAAATAAACCTAGTAAAAAGTCAAAAAGTGTTTGAAAAT